GGACCCCGCCTCCTCCTCCATCACAGGGCCTCCTTCTCCATCGCCGGGCCCCGCCTCCTCCTCCGCTGCCGCCACCGAGCTGCTGGCTGTCACTGACTCAGCAGCAGCTATGAGGAGGAATGCGCCACTGCACAGATCGCTGGCAGGTTGTCAGTAAACTGAACAGCAGCATGTTCCTTCTCACAGCCGCCAGTGACAGCCAGCAACCTGAGATGCCATAGCGATCAAGGCGGCCCGCACGGCATCAGAAGGATGTTCTGGCCGGGCCCCCCTGTGCCCCAGGCCCCATAGCGGCTGCTTTGGGTCGCTATGGCGATTGTTCCGCCACTGTATATATACAGTAATCATACATACACAGACCTGAGGCATCCCAGATTCTTCTACTGTCCCTTACCTCTTCCAGCTGAGGTGAAGTAATGAAGCATGTTTGGATGGGAAGCCACAGCCACGCTCTCCCTCACAGCTTCCCAGGCACTGAGTACTGTGGCTGTTATGTGAAGAGCGCAAGTGCTGCTGCTCTCTGTATTGCTGAGTCGGTCATGTAAAGATCTTTGTGATCTCTCCAGCAGCTCAGTGACTAAAAACATGGCACCCGCTGTTACGGTTTTGGTGTTGCACTTGGGGTGAGTAGGGTATGCTCAGGTTTAACTCCTGAGTTTAGTGTCACTTTAAGCCAAGGCACTAGCCTTTCCAGAAGGTCGAAAATGGGAGGTTTGGACTGATTGGAATCCGTCACTAATATGCGGCATACTGGCCATTCAGTAACATTTAGGAATAAAAAGGGTTTTTAAAGAATCAACCCTTCAGAAATATGTAAGCAGTCATTTGCAGACTTGCTTTTGAAGGTATTGCCTTAGTCACTGGACTGGAACTTGAAAATGCTGGTTTTTATGGAGTTGGCTCTCACCTTGTGGCTCAAAGAGCCTCCACTCAAAACTTTAGAGTGTGCCAGTGAGAATTTGTGACCATTCAGACAAAAGAACATGTTGATGTTGAACAAGATGACCTAGCTTGCAAGGGGTGTTCCAGTTCATCCCATAGATGTTCAGTAGAGTTGAGGTCAGGGCTTTGTGCTGGCCACTCAAATTCCTCTACAGCAAACTTGTCAAACCATGTCTTTATAGACCTGGATTTGTGCAAGGAGGCACAGTTATACTGGACAGTAAAGGGACTGTTGTCAGAGGTTCGGAATACATTATCTAAAATGTATTTGATGATGTTGCTTTAATAGTACCCTTCTATGAAAATATGTGAATCAATAATTTGGAGGGGTATCCAAACACTTTTGTCCATTTAGGTAGCTATGATCTTCAGGTGTCCACAAACGTTTAGCTATACAGTGTTCAGGGATCCTGCTGGGCTTCAAAGCCACTGATTGTATCAAAGCTTGCAGACATAAAACATACCATTTGAAGACTACATTAAAATAGTTCTGTTTTGTATGTTTATATTTACTTATTTCTGTTAAAGACTTATTTTACCCAAAACTAGCATTATTCTTCTGGATGATCTTTGCCATGTTCACTCATCCATTGGCGTCATATCTCTCTAAAGTGATTAGGTTTCCACACAAATATTTGCATCACCACCCCTTCTACAATGCAGTAATGAAGGTGTCACTTTCTTTAAGTTGTATACTTTGTATATTAGCTCCACATTATGAAGACTCAGTAAGGTCAGAGTGAAATCATCATTTGGCTTTGTAATGGACAGAGCTGGATGGAACTGAAAATCTCGCCACTGAAGCACTCAAGAGATATGAGAACGCATCATCCGCTTCAACTTGCCAAAAGGCGAGCCGTTATGGGACAACAGACCTTGCATTCCATACATTGCAAATTGCACTGACTGACTTAAAAACATGTCATCTACTACTATATCCCACCCTTTAGGTTTACTACAAGTTACATTTTATATGGAGTCTAATGAGCACAAGCTGAAACAGAGTTATTTAGATTAGGCCTGTACTAATATTATTTTATTATTTCCCATTTCTCTCCAGAGTACAGAAAAGGGGTCGGTAGGAGGCCTTGGATATTATGTATATCACTACCTTCTAATGGACAATATTTTCTCTTTCAGCATCCAGGAGGTCTGTGGGAGAGGAGCTCAACATGGATCCAGAAAGCAGAAAGGTAAATAAGCAGAAGTGGTTATACCCACATGCAGTTATTAGGCAGAGCTCATATTTGTTTTAGGAGGCAGAGCTTTCTTGAGAAATAACTGTAGCCTCATAGAATGGAAGCTTCGGCCTTTGCAGACGTTGTATCATAACTGTCTGCCCTATGGTGGAGTTGCCATTGGTGGAACAGGACAAAGTTCAAGGTACGTTTGCTATAATGTTCCATGACATGTAAACAAAGTCCAGGGCTTAGGAGAAACCCAGAGAATCCAGAAAACAATAATAAACCACAGATTTTTTTTAATACCAGTAAAAGGCATTCCAAAGTATCTGATTAGTTTTGTAGGACCTAATTAGATACAGACAGTGAAAGGTGTGGTGGCATGACAAGATATCATTGGGTGTCCTTTTGGCTACCAATTGTAGCAAATAGCCAGAATGACTAGATTCTAAGAAAGAACATAATGTGGGGTGGGGATGGGGGCAAAGTGGAGACATCAAAAAGAATTAGTAAACTTAACATGAGATTGTAGCCCATCACGGGAGCAAGCCTAGAATGGTGGCTACTTTACAACACACATGGGGACCATGGGGAACAAAAGTAGCCCCCCTCCAGACGGAAGGACAGTGTCAGCACCAATTCAGAGATGATTGGAAGATCTACAGCCGTGTGATACACAAATAAGAGACATTTTTGTTAATGGAGAACTATGAGGTGAGTGAAAATCACTGAGCCTCATAGTTCCAGTTGACATGTGACCATGAAACTGTCACACTCCGGCTCAATAGATCGGGAAGTGAGCGAACACATACCATCGCTCACTCACTTCTCGATCATCTCCCTGCAGAGAGCTGTGACTGTCAGTCATGGCTCCCTGCAGGGTTTCCTCCCTCTCCGCTCCAATCCTCCAGCGCTGACTGGAGGGACAGACGGGGAGGGGGCGGGCACAGCAGGCTCTGCCTCTAGATAGGCTGAGCCAGCTGTCACTCACGCAGCAGGGTGGATCTCAACAGCATTCTCAGGATCCGTCCCGGCTGCAGCGGTCTCAGTATACCGCGAGCTGTAGCTGGCGATATACTGAGCTTAGGGTCATGGGAGAATGCTAGTTTTTGTCCTCCCGTGACCCTTAAGAGAACTATGGGGAAAAACACTTACCCCATAGTTCTCCTTTAATAGTTAAGATACTTGAATTAAGAAAGCTGAACTTTATCTCCTGAGTTTTAAGGTGTACTTTTTGAAATAAATGCACAATAATAAAATACTGAATCTGTTACACTTTAATAAATTGACTGTATGGATGGTAAAAGAGGCCGTACAATACTGATTTGTCCTGCAGTAAAATGATGCTCTAAGTTCCTTAAGGCAACTGGTGACCCAACCACAGCGCTGGCGGATTGGAGCGGGAGGGGGGAATCCAGCCCCTCCCCTGTCACGGCAGAGAGCCGTGACAGGATCCAGAGGTGAGCGAATGTCGGTATATGTTCACATTGTCACAGGTCGGCTAGATCTATGAGGTGAGGGAAAAGCACTCACCTCATAGTTCTCCTTTAAGCCAGGTGGTCTGTTGTCTGCTAGGAGAGAGGAAGGGAGTGTATCTCTTCTATGAGACTCATTCTGTGTAATCTGACCTCCCTCATGTTTTAATATGTTTCACAAGAACAAACATAATGAAGAACAATATATTCCCTTTAAGTGTTTTAACATGGGGAACTATTACAAAGCCACATTGCTGCTATTTCACCCTTTGAAAGCCAGGTGTTGCATACTTCTGCTCTGTTGTGTGATTGCACGCAGTGTGCACAACTGGAGTGAGCTGAAGCTGGAAATGCTCACATAATAGTGGGAGAGGATATACTATATTGAGGTCAGTTTATCATCGCATCTTGTCACCTAATCCCTCACGTTGGATGTAGTTCTTGAATGATATAGAAACTAATAATAATGTTCTGCTTTGTTACCTTAGGCTAAAACAAGCTGGCTGATTCTGAAGGGAGAGGTGGATGCCAATTCTACAGACGCAGACACACAGTCACTCTGCCTCAGTACCGGAGCCTACAGAGATTCATCCCAGAGAAACGTGGGAGATTCCTCCTACTCAGGTGAACTGGCACAGTGTATAAATGCCATATTATATAATGGGTATTACTGTATGTCTATGTACAAATATCACTGGTCACAAAGAACTTCAGTGTAGTCAAAACAGGTTTTTCAAACAGTAAATTAAACTAATTTCTTTGTTCATTAGGGACACAGGACCAGTAGTTATTTTGATCCAAATGGATTATACTGACTTCTTCAGGAGGATTTGGACACTGCAAAAAGCCAAGTGTAACCCCTCCCACCCAGCATGCTTGAGTTGTTTGCTAGTGTCTTGGGAGGATAGGTGTCTTTTTGTCTGTTGGGAAAACATTTTCCTTTTATCAATTTTGGGGAATAGGGAGCAAAAACAGAAGATACTTTTAAAAAGATAAAAATATGCTTTATTATATTCCCACAAATTAAAAGCTACTATCCCCTTCTAAAATTGGTTTGCCAACAATATCACAACCAGAGTGTCGACACAAAGACATGTCAATGACCGCTATCAAGGTAGCTAATAAGAACCACTATATACAGTCTTTGTGTATATATATACACTCACAAACTTTGCAAGAACAATCCTGGGATATATAGACTATGTGCATTCACAACGGTTTTGGAAGGGAACTGTAGCCCCCCCCCCCCTTCCCCCAAAAAATAGGTTCAGTACTTCAAGATCTATTATTGCTGGGGATATTGCTCTCCCATGGGACCATCCACTATCCACCGGAAAAACATAAGACTCCTTCATGTCCATAGACTAAAACTCCAATCCAACATATACAGTATAGTAAACAATTTTTAATCCCCCATAGACTTTGGATTTACATACAATTTACCTGAGAACTGGTATATGTAAATAAAAGAAAAAGGCAACATGTAAAATAGTATTATAAATATATTTTTGGAATCGGCCTCCCTTTAGCTGCAAATGACTCTAGAATGTTATGTGGAATACAAACTGAGAGTTCCTGTGTTACCTGTAGATGAAGCTAAAATAATTTCCTTTTCTCTGCCAGTGTCCTGATGTCATTGCATTACATATGATCCCCACCAAGACCTCCTCTCCATAACATAAATGGCTGTTTGCCCATAAAATATGCCTTGTGGGCCAAAATGTGCCTGAAAGGCTGCAGGGATTTGTTGCTGGGTCAAGGTAATGGTGTAGACATGGCTACTTGACATTCATCACCTAGCATGTAGCCTTATCTTTTATTTCAGTTTTTCATTGCTCAGCAAGCTTATTACTTTACCTGCAGTTCTGTGTTATGTGATAGACCAAATGCTTACTGGAGCTCCATTTCATGGCATTGTGAAGTATAAAATGTCATGTAATTTTGTTGCACAGGGCTGCCTTACTCCAAGTCTGCATCACTTCCTGGATATGGAAAAAATGGACTAAACCGGGTAGGTTGTGGTGGATGTGCATTGAGGAAGTACATCCTATGTTATCTTCAATAAGTAAGTTTACAAACCTATACATGGGTATGGTTATTAGGAGTGGGATAGAACTTATGGAAATTCAATATAGAAATACAGATTTATTTTTCGTTTTTGACCATAGATACAAAAACGCTCAAGACAAGGGATCCCATTCATTTCTATGGCCGCTCTTCACTCCTGAGCGTTTTGTTACACAAAGTTTCCCATTGAAATATTTTGGACCAAAAAGCGCTGTAAACAGACAAAAGGTAGCTTATGTACTTTTTCCAGTGACAGTCGTTTTCCTGCTTGCGGCTAAGTGCTCAGGTGTGAACAGGGGCCATAGAAATGAATGGGATTCCTTGTCTTGAGCATTTTGTCATGCTTACCTTTTAGCAACAAAATACCTAGGTGTAAACAAACTTAATTAATTTTAAGCACTTTTGCACCTACATAGTATCTGTTGTGCTTGGTTTACATAACTTATAGTTCCTAGGCGCTGGATCTCTTACACAACACTGTTTAGAGCTTTTTTTTTATTTTTGTGGATTATTAAAGGAGAACTATGGGGTCAGGGCTTTTCCCAATAGTTCTCCTTAGGGTAACGGGAGGACACAAACTAGCGTCCCCCCGTCACCCAAAGCTCAGTATACTGCGAGCTACACCTCGTGGTATACTGAGACGCCGCAGCTGGGACGGATCCCCAATTACTGTCTGGATCCAACCAGCTGCGTGAGTGACAGCTGGCTCTGCCTATCTAGAGGCAGAGCCAGCTGTACCCGCCCCTTCCCCGTCCGTCCTGCCAGTCAGCGCTGGAGGATCGGACAGGGGAGGGGGGAATCCCTGCAGGGAGCCTTTAGTGACAGTCATGGCTCTCTGCAGGGACAGGATTGAGAAGTGAGCGAGCGACGGTATGTGTTCGCTCACCTCCCGATCTATTGAGCCGACCTGTGACAGTTTCATTGTCACAGGTCGGCTAGAACTATGAGGCTGAGTGCTTTTCACTCGCCTCATAGTTCTCCTTTAAGCCACTCTGAGATACTTACTTTCACTTGATATCATCTTTACAAAACAGAGTGTACTGTTTAGTGCAGATAAAACATCCTATAATCGATGCAATAAAACTGACCTGCACTTACAAAGTAGCTCATTGCAGATAATCAGGCAAATCACCGTATAGGCGCACTCTGCTAGCTCTAGCACTCTGATGAAGGGGCACGGCCCCAAAACATGTAAGGGGGGGTACTTCCATGCAGGCTGCAAACTCAGCTCCCTAGCAATGCTCACCATTCTGGATGAGTTGTAGCAGTTTACCCCTGATGTGCTCAGTGCCATTTACAGCCTTTTCCATCTGCATGCTATCTCACGTATTGCTGACTTACCAGGAGGTTCTTTACTGCAGGTATTTATATAGCGCCAACAATTTACCCAGCACTTTACACACTATCCATTCCCATCCCATCCATCCCTTGAGGAGCTTACAGTCTAAGGTCCCTATTACACTTGCATACTAGGGCCAATTGAGACAGGAACCAATTAACCTTCCAGCATGTCTTTGGAGTGTGGGAGGAAACTGGAGTACCCAGAGGAAACCGACACAGGCACATGGAGAACATGCAAACTCCTTGCAGATAGTGTCCTGACTGGTATTCAAACCAGGGACCTCCAGTGCTGCAAGGCAGGAGGGCTAACCACTAAGCCACTGTGCTGCCCTACTAGGTGCATCTGTACGGTGACCTGACATCCAATGTGGGTTGATTTGTTTGGTGCTTGGTTACACGCACTGATCGAGTTGCTGCTTTGTAAGTGCAGTTTCTTTTTGGGGGTGTTTTATCTGCACTATCCAATGCGCTGTGTTTTGTTCTACTTCTGCTCTAATTGATATCTCAGAGCGGCATCTAAAATCCCTGAATTCATTTATGGCAATAATAAAATTATGGTTTCAGAGGGACAGCGAAGAGAATGTCCTGTGGATATTCATTAGGAGTAATTGCATCTCTTCAGTTTTCTCAATTATTCAGGAAATGAATGATTGTGTCTGTGCGATGCTTCTAATGATGGATTCAGCAGATGGCAGAATTGAGTGGATTTATGTTTATATTACAGAGATCCACAATACTTCCTTCTGAGCATTCACTGCAGGAGAGAGCACATTCATCTGTCTGCTGTCGGCTCCCATTAACCTCTATACTAGACTCAACATTGGTGTTTTGTATTTATAAAATAGAAATGTGTGAGGAATAAGTCTACTTCAAACGTTTTTCTAACTGATAATATGCATGAGAAGGGCAAAGCAACAGGTTCACTTTAATACCCAGCCATGCTCCTGCATGTACTCGCCTTCCCTTTAGTCCCCAACTGCTTTGATCACCACCATGAGAACCACAAACAGAAATTTCAGATTACTTCCCATCCTCCTACGTGACTTAGCATTGGCCACTCAGACACCAGCACTGTCACATCGGTGTGTGGAGAGAGTATTCGTTCAGCAAAGGCCAAGTGCTTTGCTCAGCACAGACACAGATCAGGTCCACCTCAGGTAACGCCTTTATGCTACATGTATAGCTCACACCATAAGAAGCCATTTGTGCTATCTGTTAAGCAATCAAACCCTACCCTTGTCCATTAACTACTAGCACTTTTTGTGGCATGATTGCGCTTGTTAAATATCAGGGGCATTTATTACTCCAACTGACCAATCACACAGGGGCATATATTACTTCTACTGACTAATGACACGGGCATGTATTACTTCTACTGACCAATGACACAGGGGCATGTATTACTTCTACTGACCAATGACACAGGGGCATATATTACTTCTACTGACCAATGACACAGGGGCATGTATTACTTCTACTGACCAATGACACAGGGGCATGTATTACTTCTACTGACCAATGGCACAGGGGCATTTATTACTTCTACTGACCAATGACACAGGGGCATTTATTACTCCAACTGACCAATCACACAGGGTCATTTACAACTTCTACTGACCAATCACACAGGGGCATGTATTACTTCTACTGACCGATGACACAGGGGCATATATTACTTCTACTGACCAATGACACAGGGGCATGTATTACTTCTACTGACCAATCACACAGGGGCATTTATTACTCCAACTGACCAATGACACAGGGACATGTATCACATCTACTGACCAATGACACAGGGGCATTTATTACTTTTACTGACCAATGACACAGGGGCATTTATTACTTCTACTGACCAATGACACAGGGGCATTTATTACTTTTACTGACCATTGACACGGGGGCATTTATTACTTGTAATGACCAATGACAGAGGGGCATTTGTTACTCTAACTGACCACTGACACAAGGGCAGTTATATCCTCCACTGACACAAGGGGCATTTATTACTCCAACTGACCATTGACAAGGACATTATTCCCCGAACTTACCACTGACACAGGGGCATTAATTACGTCCAATGACACAAGGGGCATTTATTACGTCCAATGAAACAAAGGGCATTTATTACTTCAACTGATCAATGATACAGGGGCATTTATTACTCCTACTGAGGGCATTGTGTACTCCCACTGACCACCAATGTATAGGCATTTTTACTTCAATTGAGCATCGATGTAGGGGCATTTTTACTCTCACTGACCTCCAATACTGAGGCATATTGTTACTCTCCCTGAGAGTAACAATATGCCTCAGTCAAGCCCCAGACATTGAAATGGCCCTTTGTTTAAACATTTTGGGGACTCCTGCGCTAATGAATAAATAAATTAGGTAGCAATTATAGATTATTTAAATTAAATTGCAATTTTCTCTACATTGCATGACTGAACATTTCTAGTATACTAGCTAGTTAAAGTTGTAGGTTGTTCAGTGCAGTAATACAGCACAACCGATCAGATGTTCTATAGTGGAATCAACCACATTAAGAGATGATTTATGATTCATTGCTACAGAATACTATATTCTACACTTCTCACAGCATCATACAAACCGGAACAAAGAGAAGGGTAAGAGGAGAAAATACACATTAGGATGACATGGTATCAAGACTCACAGGTTGCCCATACATAGGACTGGCTATGACTTCAGACTGGGCTTAGTTGTGAGCAGTCAGCATGGATGTTGCTTTAGCTGAGAGTTGGAAAGTAAGAATTAATTAATGCTGATATAACTTTTCTCCTTTCCAGGCTACCAATTTTGGTCAGTATGTGGAGGATGATGATACCAGCTGGGGCATGAAAGGTACCAATCCCCATTTTCATGTTTCTTCCTGTTATATACTGTGAGGTGAATTTATCAAAACTGGAGCAGACAAAAAACTGGAGCAGCTGTGCATGGCAACCAATCAGCTTATCTCTTTCATTTTCAAATCTTAACTGGACAGACTAAAGAGAGAAGCTCCAGATTTAGTCTGCTCCAGTTTTGAGAAATTCCCCCTGTATGTTTTTATGGGTGGCTGAAGGAGATATTGCATTGTTTTATCAACAACAAAAACCTTTTTTGTGTTGGAACCCAAGCTGAAGTGAAGTCATCAGCAGGTGCACCATCTTGTCATTAACTGTCTTTGTTCCTTCTTCTTGCATATGCCTTTGTGAAATGGAGGCCTCTGATTCTTTTGGCTATTGGTTTAGAGCAGTGGTTCTCAACCTGTATAACCTCAGGACCCACATTTATTCTTGGTCATTAAGTCGCGACCCAAGTTGCACCGCACTAAACCGCATGGCATTGCGGCACCGCATGTTTCGATCAAACTGTGGGTGGGAGGTGTGTTTGGGGTGCCATTTAAATGAAAGGAAACGCACCTCCCACACCAAAATAAACAGTAGTTGCGATTGCGTGGTCATTTTTCGATTAAAACACTGACACACAAACACAACCACACTGAACACATAGGTGTTCAGTGTGAGCTACTGTGCTGGAGCACCATCCATATGTGCAATGCTTGTACAGCTCCCTTGCACTCCCTGTAGGGGTGCCGGGAGCCAGAAAGTGACGTCACTCTGGTCATGCAAGGTAGCTGTAATCAATGAACGTATGGATGGAGCTCCTTCGCAGCCCCCTGCCCACTCCACCTCAAGCTGACACCCGACGCCGGGCAGCATATTTTGAATGGCTACTAGGCACGAGAACTGGCAGTGCTGCGCTATTGGAGAGGCTGAGGAGCCTCTCACCTAGTGCAGTGGAAGGCATGCGGCGACCCACTGAACACAGAGTCGCGACCCACTTTTGGGTCACGACCCACCAGTTGAGAACCAAGGGTTTAGAGCAGGGGTGCCCACAAGGTCGATCGCGATCTATCAGTCGATCGCGTAGCGATCACTGGTAGATCGCGATGTCCTCTCCTCCCCCAGTGGGGCTTGTCTGGATCCCCGCTGCTCTCCCCATCTGTATGCAGCGGGGATCCGAGAAGTAGTGAAGGAACCTGCAGACGGAGGCGGGGGAGGGCAGAGGACGGAGCCACTGTCACAGACAGAACTAATGCCGAGCAGTGAGGAGAGAAATAGAGAGACGCTCGGCAAAGATCTGACAGCCGGCGCCTCTCTCTCCCCTCACCGCTCGTCCTTAGTTCTGTGACAGCGGCTCCGCCCCCCGCGGCTGAAGTGCTCTTTCCCTTCTCGTCGGATCCCCCGCTGCCTCTGCCCGGGAGAGCAGGGGGGATCCATGGAAGAAGCTGTGCCCCCGTGTGCGTGGCCGAGCGGCAGAGGATCGGTACATATCAGTGATATGTACCAATCCTCTGTGCAGGACAAACATTGGAGCGATCAGCTGATCACTCCAGTGTTTGTAAATAACTGGGGACACATAGTACGTAGTATGTGTCTCCAGTTATTAATGAACAGGATGTGATTTACATCACGTCCTGTTCATTCATGAGTTTCTCAATGGGGAGAAACACTCTGTACAGAGGCTCCTCCCCATTCAGAAACAGCTTGATAGTAAATAGTTTCTGAATGAATGGGAAGCCTCTGTGCTTTCCATTCATTTAGAATAGAGGCTGCAGAAAAAGAGATTGAGGACTTTGTGTCCTCAATTTCTTTTTCTATTTTAAAAGGGAAATATCAGGGGGCTGTTTAGACCCCTGATATTTCCCCGAAGCCCCCCCAAAAAGTAAAAAAAAGTAATTAAATTACACAAATTAAAATAAGAAATAATGAAAATAAAATAAAAATAGTAAAAAATAAATTAAAAAAACGTTGTTTTTTTTCTTGCCTCGGGCACGAAAGAAGCTGGCTACGGCTATGCTCCCGTGGTGCTCGTGCGGCTGCCGGCTGAATGTGTCAGACGCTGCAGATGGAAAGGGGCAGGACACCTCTCCCCATGTGCAACGTCGGCCACACGAGCACCACGGGAGGACAGGACGCCGGGACCTCTAGGGCGCACTGGAATGTAAGTCGGCCGACTCCCTGCGTTCAGGTGCAGGAGGGGGTGTGGGGCTGTATCGAAGTCAATGGCATCGCCCACAGTGAGATCACCCGCCCCGGAATGCAGGCACATTAGTGCCTGCATTCCGGTCCAGTGCAATCTGCAAAAATAGTGCTTGCAGAATGTTTGCGGATCATACTAGACTAGAACACAGGCACTAATGCAGGCGATCGCACTGTGGGCGAGGGGCCTGGCTGCGGAGCCTGGCTGCGGTGCCATTTACTTCAATGCACCGCCACGCCCCCTCCCGCCCCTGAATGCAGGTGTTTTTTCGTTGGTAGATCTCATTGAGCTCGTCATTTGAAAAGTAGATCTCCAGACGAAAAATAGTGGACGCCCCTGGTTTAGAGGATGCTGCAGTCTGGGCCCCATCCAGTCCTGTGGGTCCACAGCATTCCCTACACTCATGGTGGCTCTGCCACTAGCAAGCAGTCAGATTCTCTGTGCAAATGGAAGGATATCATTGGCTGGCTAGCAATACATAGAGCACCCTGAGACTCCTTATTATTATGTAATGGAGATAATCTGGGGCTGTAATTTGCTATAGGGCTTCTCTACAGTTCATTGGCAATGTATATAAGCTGCAGTGCAGTGGTCAAGGATTGGATGGGACAGGACAATAGCTATAGAGGTAAATAAATGCAAGCTAGTAATTGTAAGTATAGGTCATAACATGTGATCTGCCATGGCTTGGAGGGCACTAATGGTACCAAGCACATAAAATTAGATCGTACACATTGGCAGTGAGAATTATAACTGCTTGGAAATATTTTTTGTCTGGAGTTTCCAACCTATGTTCAGTGTGCTCTACACTGGGGATTGTTAATCACATAGTGGCTTAAAGCTTCACATAAACATTCATTTAACTGTGTTCCTCAATAGCCAGGAAGGATATAAACACCATGTGCAACAAATTTATTTGCCGACTCAGATATTACCTTGTAACAATTACATCATTACTACTGCACATGGTCTGTGTAAAGAGCAGAGTTGTGGGAGGGACCCAGCAGGCCAACATAGTACAGGCTGCCTGCAGAAAACTACAAGATGGGCGGAGACAAGACCAGTGACCCCGCACAAGGAGAGTGGTCAGCAGTGACCGGTCTTTATTATAGGAAGCTCCTGAAAGTTTCACATTGGATTACTGCACAGATCGGGAAGAAATACACAAATCTCACCAAGATTCAAGTAGAAATACACACAACTCTTGTATTTAGATAATATTAATTATGCCTGGAGTTCATTTTTAAGAATAACCCCTTATGGACAAATATCTAATTTTCAACACATGAATTCGATGTATTGCACATTAGATAACTGCCAACAAATAGTTAAGTAAAGCTACAGAGCCTTACAAATTTCCTGTGTGGTTTTGCACGTACCGCATTGTACTTGTATACATTATTATGGTGTAGAGTACTTTGGACGACCAGAGACTGGATCTCTGTCTACACATGTAAACAGCATGGTCCCCACGTCTTGTGTAACTGTCCTGCTTTATATACATACAGATCAGCTGGTGTTTAATGCACCATGAATTACCATATATTAATGTCTCCTTATTAAGTATTGTAAATCATTGCTAAAACAAATGTAAACTCCTACATATTCACAATAAACATCAGCTATGCTATCATCCTACTCAGATAGTCTGATTTTTTTTCTGTCTTATGGGAAGTGCAGTGATATAGGTGACACATAGGGGCTCATTCACAGGGACATGCACAGCCGTACAGCATGCACATCCATGCAGAAATTTGTGTCCAGGATGGACAGCTGGTGCGTGTAGTTGTGTTCAACCACCTGTAAAATTCAATGACAGGACCTGGCTACACACTGACCCAAACGTGCACATCTATACAGGCATGGATGCATGCCCCCGGACACAGACAGATTGAAGTTTGGGTCAGGAAGCCACACCAGCTGTTCTTCCTGGGCACCTGATCCTTCATGGAAGTGCACACAGTTCTTGTGCCTGTAAGAACGATCCAGTGCTTCCATTCACTTTCTCATAATGCAATATGCCGGTAATCCACCAATAAGATTCAATTAGAAAAATGTGTGAATCTTGGGTGAAAGTTGTGCTCACAGATAATATTTATTTCCTATGTTATTCGGCTCCACCTAGTGGCCATGTGTGTTGTATTGTGCTATGCTGTGTGTTGTCTGTTGGCTAGTACTGTGCAGTGCGTGGGGTTTCCATGCAAAATAAATGGAACCACAAAACACCACGTTGCACACATTCTCATGTATATGACTGATTGAAAAAGAGTTACAGAAAGTATCTAGGCAAGAATTGCAGGGTTGTCTATATTCTGATTTCCATCTCTGTGCTGGTGCATGGGAAAAGCAGAGAGCCAATCACACAAGGTGATATTGGGGGGTATTACATTCCATAATACATTGTACACAAGTATACAGAACTTCCCCAGGTTGTCATACTGCAGATATACTTATATATGGTTTAGCATTTTTTAAACCAAAGTAAATTCTTCTTTTCAGTAGACTTTAGATGTTTCCTGGATGTATCAGTTGTTCTCTGATTGGTTTTGTGTGTTTCCTGGAGATGCTGTTTATTGACAATAGCAATAATTATAATTGATATCATTAAGTCACATCAGTGAATACATTTTTCTGTGTTCTCTTTGTAATATCATCTATTTCTGTTTGTTCTCTCTGCAGAGTACAAGGTAAGAGGAGCCACACTCTACCGATTATTAGCTGGCTTACGAGGTCATACTGTCATTGCCTGTATTGTGTTGTATTGTATATAACAGCTCATGTATGTATTCCAATTCTTAGTTTGTATTCAGTTTGCAGCATCACAGATGTGTTTTATGTATACAGGGGTGTAACTAGGGTTGCCACCTTTTCTTTAAGCGAAACCCGAACACTATAGCATCACATGGACATATTCTTTGGGGGAGAGTGAGTTGCGGCTTATTCATATGTAATGGGCACCACCGATTAATATGTAAATAACACAGTTGAGACTATTTTCAGTGGGGGGCCAGTAGCCCCTATCTTAATTTTGGTTGCCCCTGCCTGCCTGAAAGCCCACCATAGACCCCGCACAGCCAACCAAAGACCACTCACAGCCCACCGTAAACCCCACACAGCCCACTTGTGAGCCCACACATACCAGAGACCCTGCATAGCCCACCCGAGACCCCGCACAGCCCACCTGAGGGTGACCCTGCAGAGCTCACCATGGACTCTCTATGTTGGGCTCTGCAAGGTCTCAGGTGGACTGGTCAGGGGTCCCTTTCCCTGCACACTGCGTTCCTCTTACCTGTCAGCCCCGAGCCACCCACTGCTGAGCCCTGACCTACTCCACCTCCGCTGTCGGACTGGTGCTGTTGGGCCCCGGCCTCCTTCCCCGCCACCGGGCCCCGGCCTCCTCCACCTCTGCCGCCACACTGGACTGGTGCCGCTGGGCCCCAGTCTCCCCCACAGCCACCGCCAGACCCCAGCCTCCTTCACCACTGCTGCCGGACCGGTGCTTCTGGGCCCCGCTCTGCCCTGGGCCACGTGGGTCGCTATGGCAGTAGTTAGGAAATTGTATGTATACATATCTGTGGTATCCTCAGCTATGTACTGTATATGAATGTCACATTACTCTGATCACTCTCTTCAATCTCCTCTTTCTTAGACCTTTCCCTATGAAATGCTGATTGTAACAAACCAACTGCGGGTGAAGCTCCCGAAAGAAGTGGATAGAACCAGACTGGAGGTAATACATTAAGTGCTTACTTACAGGAGACCAGTCACCCAGAATGTGTGTATACTGTATATGAACTATCAATGCAATACCATCATCTAGAGCTGAGGGGATCAGCTTTATTAAAGCCCAACTCCATTCAAAATGCTATTTTGGCTTTGGACAGGGTGAGGAAGGATGATATCTGACAGAACTTTATTGATGTCTGTGTCCTCATTTGGGTGGTTTACCTTTGCATCAGGTGTCTTAACGACAGGAAGTGATGGGATTTATCTCCAAAAAGGACACAGACAAAAACTCAGTTATTTAGTAGAATGGGAACAGCTTTTTCTTTGTCCTGTCCTGGTGACACCCATTCCTTCAATCCTTGTCCTGGTGACACCCATTCTCTAATTTCTTGTCCTGGTGAGATTGGAACAGGAAGTGAGGGGAAATATCTCCAATAGCTACAGACAGCAAAGAAAAAAAAATGTTTGGCCGTAGTTAGGCTTAAATGCAACTAGTTGTTATGTGTTAGTAAGGTAAGTATGGATGTTTTAACTCACTGTTCATCCAGCTTGACTCACTCGGAACCCAAGCAACTCAGTACATTTGACCATGGACACATTATGTCCTCTTTTGACTATTGCATTTCTGGATAGCATTGCCTAGAAATGGGGGTGTGGAGAAGTACGTATGTGTGCTGTCCCTAGCACCCATAGGAATGCAGTGCCAAGGGCGGATCACAATTATGTAATTACCTTATACTTAATATGGCCTTAGATTGTAAGCCGTCATGGGCAGGACCCTCCTTACTATCTTGTCTTGAATTGTATTGTGATGTGCAATGTGTTTGCTCTCTTTACTACGGAAGAGCCTTGGGGCCATGCTAAAAAAAATATGAAACATAATTCTGTTTTAAAAAGTCAGAATTCTGTGTTTAAAATTCTAAGTTTGAAACTCAGAATTCTAACTTTTAAACACAGAATGATGTGTTATATTTTATTTGGCATGGCCCCAAGGCTCTTCAGTTTACCATGCCAAACTAAAAACAAAGCTTTGGCTTTCAATAAACTTTAACACTTTCAGTGACAAGGCGCGTACACCAACAGTGTCCCTGATGGGAATTGAACCCGGGACCCCAGCAACCCAATGGCAAGCGTGCTAATTCTGCCCCAGCATGCTTCCCTACACTGGAGTGATGGAGGGGATTACCAGAGCGGCTTATACGGCCAATGCAGATAGTATAAGAGACATTTTCTGACACCGGGTCCATCAGGCTGGAATGCCCATAATGTTTCTTTCCACAACATCCCCAGCACGCCGCACGGCCGTTGCGGTCTTTGGATATCAATCACAGGAAAGCTTGTTTGCTCAGACCGGTGCTTGTTCTCTAAACACTTCAATATGTTTTTCATGTGATTACTCAGCAAGTGGTATCCATTTCACCGGATTATTTTTCTAAATGGAGATGATAAAAACGCATCACAAATGAAGAGAATGTGAGAGAAGCGACTCTGCGGAAAGCTCCTACATCTGGAATTCATGAATACATATATCCTGTTCTACAGTAACCAAAACCTTTGTTGACAGCCGCCGTGCGGTCATTGTAAAGGTGTCGCCTTAAAGGACCACTCCGGACAGATGTAGAAAGACACGCTTTATCCCTTTCTATTCCTTGAAACATGATCTCATTCCACATGCCAGCTGAAAGCTGAAATCAGCCTTGCGGTGTGGCTCCTTGCTCGGGAAGACATACAGTAAAATAATGCTCAAAAACCCTCATTGCCAAAATGTGTAAAAACACAAACCAAAGTGAAAAGAAAACACAGGAAAAGCAAGTCATGTAGAACGGAACAATACATGTCCACAATTGGGGCAACAAGCAGTGCAGCGTTCTAAAATAAAAAACGCATTTCATACAGAAATCGGAAAACCAAAGACACGTACATAATGGAGTCATTTATTATTTATTGGACCGTGTGCCCCTGATTAAAGCACTTAGAACACATTCCGTGGAGCTGGCTTTTCCTGACAGTAAATGGCCACTGTAGGGCAGAATTGCGAATGGCCATTTACTGTCGCAAGATCCTGGTGCCAAGATCCCGGCTCCGGTATTCCCCCTCCTACATGCTCCATCCTCTGTTCTTCGTATAAGTATTTATAGTCAGTGTGTGTGACCCAATAAATAAGAAATGGCCGTAATGCCTTCTTTAGAAGTCGAAAGGCAGAGGTTGCAGACACTTATATTGGCTTTCAGAAGGCAGAGGGGTCAGGATGGTGGCAACTGGGATCTACCGAAGTACCATGACTAGGTTGGCACACCAGTTCAATGTAGCACAGGAGACATTTGCAAAATGGTTTCACAATCACAAATCACTTCGAACAAGAGACCACACACACGGTGCATACAGCCTGAGCCCACACAAAAGGCATCTCAAGCATGAGACCACACATAGTACATGTACAGCCTGAGACCACACAGAGGGCATCTACAGCATGAGACCACACACAGGGTATCTACAGCATGAGACCACACACAGGGTATCTACAGCATAAGACCACACACAGGACATGTACAGCCTGAGACCACACACAGGACATCTACAGCATAAGACCACACACAGGGTATCTACAGCATGGGACCACACACAGGGTATCTACAGCATGGGACCACACACAGGGTATCTACAGCATAAGACCACACACAGGACATGTACAGCCTGAGACCACACACAGGACATCTACAGCATAAGACCACACACAGGGTATCTACAGCATGGGACCACACACAGGGTATCTACAGCATAAGACCACACACAGGACATGTACAGCCTGAGACCACACACAGGACATCTACAGCATGAGACCACACACAGGGTATCTACAGCATGGGACCACACACAGGGTATCTACAGCCTGAAACCACACACAGGTAATTTACAGCCTGGGACCACACACAGGACATCAACAGCCTGGGACCACACACAGGGCATCTACAGCCTAGGACCACACCCAGGTCATCTACAGCCTGAGACCCCGCCCAGGTCATCTATAGCCTGAGACCTCACCCAGGTCATCTACAGCCTGAGACCTCACCCAGGTCATCTACAGCCTGAGACCCCCACCCAGGTCATCTACAGCCTGAGACCCCCACCCAGGTCATCTACAGCCTGAGACCACACACAATTCATCTACAGCCTGAGACCACACACAGTGCATCTACAGCCTGAGACCAAACACAGGTCATCTACAGCCTGAGACCACGCACAGGTCATCTACAGCCTGAGACCACACACAGGACATCAACAGCCTGAGACCACACACATGGCATCTACAGCATGAGACCACACACACGGCATGTACAACCTGAGACCACACACAGGGCATCTACAACCTGAGACTACACCAGGGCATCTACAGCCTGAGACCATACAGGTCATCTACATCCTGAAACCACACACAGGGCATTTACAACCTGAGAACACACATAGGGCATCTACAACCTGAGACTACATCAGGGCATCTACAGCCTGAGACCATACAGGGCCTCTACAACCTGAGAACACACATAGGGCATCTACAACCTGAGACTACATCAGGGCATCTACAGCCTGAGACCATACAGGGCATCTACAACCTGAGACCACACACAGGGCATCTACAACCTGAACCCACACACAGGTCCTCTTCAGCCTGAGATCACACACAGGACATGTACATCCTGAGACATAACTAGGGCACCTGCAGCCTGAGACCACACATAGGACATGTACATCCTGAGACCTCACCAGCCCAGGGCCTCTACAGCCTAAGACCACACACAGGACCTCTACAGCCTAAGACCACACACAGGACCTCTACAGCCTAAGACCACACACAGACCATCTACAGCCTGAGACCACACATAGGACATGTACATCCTGAGACATCACCACTCCAGGGCATCTACAGCCCGAGACCACACTCAGGGCCTCTACAGCCTAAGACCACACACAGGGCATCTATAGCCTGAGATGTAAAATATGATATTCATTGAAGTATCTGTTCTGCAGGCTGATGACCAAGAGGGAGAGGTACATGTATGGGCTTCAAATCAGGATAGATCTGAGGTACGGTGTAATTAGTGTGGGCTTGTTCACTGTTAGTAGGGGTGGGACAGTGGCTCAAACTTGGGGTCTACAGAACTGCAAGCTGTGAAAGGGTTTGTTGTGCTAGTGGTACAGTGATGGGGATGGAAGAAAGTTCAAGAATGTGTTTTATATTGCCAGTCAAAGGATTCCCTACATTGTGTCTTTAGCTGTTTGTGTGGGTTTGCACTTTAAATGAGGCTGTTGGTGGAAGAAGAAGCTGCATTTGTTTTGGACTGATGAGTGGCCCCTTGGCAGCCTTTGTAGGACACAAAACCTCTGAACAGCCTTTAGTAACAGCGCTGTTTATGTAGCATTAATTCTGATCAGCTTGGCCGTGGCCAGGTGTGGATTTGGCTTTTGTTATTTGGAAGAGATCATAAGCTTCAAAGACATCCCAGAGTCCATGGGGTGGGAGAGGGGACTGAAAAATAAATCCAGCAGCCATAGAGGCATGAGTGTATGTGAGGTAATGTTAATGTTAAGATCAGGGTGTTCGGGAGAAGATTTTTACAATGCAAAACACCTGTATCAATATGACGGCCTTAAAGGGTCAGTCCGCACAACAATCTCATTTCTGCTTTGGTGCATACCGGAAGGCTGGGCTACCCATTGGCTGCTTATACCTCTCCAGGACACCAGCAGTGAGATATCCTCACCAGAGGTCCTGGCTCTGCCCCTTGGAGCAATGGATTACATTATGTCACACAAGAAATCCAACAGGCAGACTGAGTCTCCCTCATAATTGCTGCTGTAAAAGACAGAACCCTGAGAACCTTTATATGCAGAAATGTTAGCACAGCTGATATAAAAGGACAGTGTCTATCCAAAACCGGAATACCAGGTGTTCATGAACAGGTCATACTCTCCCTGCTGGAATATTTATTTTATATTATGAAGAATTTATGGGCTGCAGTAAAAATGATACCTTAGTCCAAAATCCACCCCATCCTGAGGCTGAAAGAGCAGCAGCTCACTATTAAGGCCGTCAATGTGCTCTTCCATCCTGTAAGCATATTAAGCAGTAGACTGACTACACCACGGGTAGTCAAACTCCGGCCCTCCAGCTGTGGTGGAACTACAAATCCCATGAGGCATTGCAAGATTCCCACAGCCACCGACATGACATGACTCCCGGAGAGAGATGCATCATGGGATTTGTAGTTTCACCACAGCTGGAGGGGCGGAGTTTGGCTACCCCTGGACTACATTGTACAAAGCAATGAAACCTGATTGGCTCAGAGTGCTGACCCACCCTCTCCTAGTATGAGTGTTGCTGTGCAGGGGACTGCAGAAGCAATTGAAAGACAGATGCAGGTACTTATATAAGTTGTATGTTGTTTAAAAAAACATGTAAAGTCAATATAAACTCCGTCACTTAACCCTTTCACTGCCAAGGCATTTTTTTGCATATTGGAGGTGACAGTTTCTCTTTAAGGTGACATTAGGATTCTTAGACCCTTCGTGTCACCTTTCCCCTGCAAAGAACCTATTTAAGCACAGATTGCGCTTGAATAGCTTCTTCCCCGACTTCTCTGACAGCTGGGGAACCGAAAGTGATGCGCTGCTTTCAGCTCCATTCAGCGTGGAGGAGATCAGCAGACGGATATTCGTCGGCATCTCTCCCCTCTGCCCACCAACACCCGTGATGCGGGTCCTAGGCCTGCAGGAGGGGCAGCGGAGCCCGGGAAGCAAGGCAGGTGTGTCAGACAGGGACTTTAATATGTTAATGTCATTTCAAAAGTCATTTTTATTATGTTTTAATGGACAGCGTTCATTACATAATAGCTGGTAGACATGTGCGAATCGAAATTCGGATAACGTTTCGGAGATTCGGATGTACCCGAATTCCGAATTACAGATATAAGGAATGCAAACGAATCCGAATTCCCGATTCCGAAATTCGTTTGTCTGTACGAAATTTCGTTTGTAGAAGGACATTTTTTTGCAGCAAAGGGACATTTGAGAAAAGAAAAACCTTTTTTCCCCTCATAAATGTCACTTTGCTGCAACGAAACGTAATTGAAACGCAATTTCGTACAGACTACCGCTAACGAATTTCATCCGAATTCCGAAACGAATTGACTTTCAGACCCGAATCCCGGAAAACAAAATAACGCAAAATCCGAATCGAAACAAAACAAATTTTTTGCTGGTGCCCATGTCTAATAGCTGCTGATCCTGCCATCAGGGTCCCTGTTTAGACACTTTCTGTTATAGGATGACAATGCTTTGTCCCTGTCTCCCAATGATTCTCCTGCATTGTCACCATCTTAGCCAGGCAACCATCGCTGGAGTGTACATAGACAGGAAGTGACTGAAAAGAGACTATAGGAGATCAGCAGCATTGTAATAAAGGATTAAAAAAAAGTGTTTTATTAAAAAAATTTCAGTTGTTTGACAGTGCTTAAAAAAATAAAACATAACTATATTATTTTAAAATATTTTTCTAGAATTCCACATTAAAGCAATGCAGGCACAGAGTGGAAATAATTCTGGATTAGGATGTCAGCTCATTTGTAGTAGCGGCCCTCCCAACTTCAGAAACTGAGACAGAAATGTTAAAAGGTTACAAAGATTTATTGGAGGGAAGTGTTGCCGTTATGAAGTATAGAATGGTTTTAGTTTGGAGCAGAGTACTTCCTTACTTCCTACTGTTCAGTGTTGACCTAAATGTTCCTAGCTTCACAGGATAGAAGGGATATCTGCCAGAGTTTTGTTTTAGAGGAAATACAGACCATACGATGTGGTTACTTTAGCAAGTATGATCTCACCGCAGCAGCATTCCCAGCATATTAATATATTTTACATGTTGACTGAGTTTTCCATACTGCCAGCAAATAGTGTCAGAGTCCACCCACGCATACTCTTCATACAGTAAACACAATGGAGGGGATTGTTACTGTAGTGTTCATAGAAAGATGCTTCATCGCCATCTTCAAGGTTCTCTTTATGGAAACCGAAATGTTGTTACCTGTGTCTGTCTTGGATTTTCCTTTAGCAAGAAATAACTTTTGTAGGAAACATCCTGCTTCTGTGGATTTGTGACTGCAAACTAACCAAACCAGCACTCATCTGAGCAACTTCTTTGGGTTAATTGATGATAAGGAATTCAGGTAAACCCTTACGGGGTTTAATAACCCAACAACATCCCAAATGACCATAATGCAATGCAGATAGAGCAGGTGTTAACTGGAGTTACATAGCTGGAGGAGTGAAATGTTGTCAAAACTGCCAGTGTAAAGCCAGGTGGCCATACACTGTGCACTTTATGCTTTATGCAGTATAGTTAGGGGCACCCCAAGGCGTGGTGTCACCCAGAGCAACCAGCGGGTGACAACCCGCCATGACATCATTGCGCATGCACATGACATCATTGTGCACATGCGACGTGATGACATCACACCCTGTTACCTGCTGGCGGCCATCTTGGTGATAGAATCTGGCAAAGAGAGGAGACAGGATAAGGTATGCCGCCGGGTCCACTCCTCTCTCATACATCTGTCGGCACTCGGCCCATGACCAAGTGCTCGACTTTTCAGAGGGGGTGACACCAAAATAACTGTCAAGTCATTTCGGTGCCACCCCCTAAATGGTGTCACCCGGGTGCGGGCCGCACCCCCCCCTAGTGACGCCACTGAGTATGGTCACAAACGAATTCAGATCCATCTACAGATATCCTAACTCTCCAATGAAACACAGAAGCCTAAATTCAATGTAGTTTTACTTCTTAAAGTTCGGTACAGAGGATGTTACCCTGGTCATATGAAGCGTAAAAGACAAAGATTTTCCAAGCCTAGTGTCTGTGATGAAGGCTAGCAATACAAATGAGGGAACATAGAAGAAGCAGGGAGGGTCTATCTAGGACTACACCAAGTGACACTAAACATGAAGTACAGTGGAAGATATCAATGTATACAAAAAACAAATGTAGTATTGCTAATCTATCACTAGTTGTCAGGAATATACCATAACATAATGATATGCAATGAACACATAGCAGTGTAATAGAAATAACAGAGAATAACAGTGGCTGTGGCATTTATTGTAAGTTCAGTTAGAAATCTGCCTCTCTCTCCAACATAACTGTGTCTTGCTGGGCTTAAGAGAGGTCTTATAAGAGGTGTAAAAAGGGGCAGTGGTTGGAGGAGCTCGGTTCTGGGTTTCTTGGATCCAGCCAGGTAAATAAATCTTCCAGGTGACATCAAATATAAAAATCAATCACCTTCAGCCTCACCAGGTATGGCAGGGCATATCTCAGTTGTAACTCACAAAGTTTACATTTAGCTGCTGTAAAGGTAGCCCATTGCTTTTGAATCTCAGAAATGTCCGGGTAAGCGGAGATGGCAACATTTTGAAAGGGAATATAACTTGTTCTACTTGTAAGTCTCAAGACCGCATCTCTGTCTTTATCATTTTGGAATTTTGCAATAAATGTTTGCGCATCAGGTAGAGGTCTAAAGGTGAGACAATGGGCCCATTCCACAGTGAAAATATAACAACAATTTCTCCTTACTAAATGTGGACAGACTTAGCGATTCCAAAAAAGTCATGGGATCAGATCCTTCAAAGTTTTAAGGCAGGTCAACAAAACGCAGGTTGGAGTGCTTCAGGCAATTTTCCATGTCATATTGGCATTGCAGGAAAAGTTGTAGCTGGAACTGTTGCTGCCAGGAGGTGTGCTAAAGTAGAGGTAGATAGTCTTCAACAATGCCCAGCCTGGCCTCAGTCTCAGCCACAGGCTCTCCACGGTTCTAAAGGTCTTCCCTGATGAGAGAAATATCCAGCTTCATCTCATCAAGCTTAGAGGTAGGGGTGTTCTGACCTTGAGTACCTTTGCGGTGTCCGGTGCAGGATGATCTAAGTCAGGAGTAGGTGGGTCCCCCCTGTAGTGGAGGCGCAGATGTGCTATCTGTTTCCAGGCACCACAACTTTTCAAGTCTGGCACTAACTTCTAAGAATGTTTTGGTGGAGACGTGCTTGGGGAACGGGTCCTCAGTAATTGAGGAGTCTGGAAGGCAAAAATAGAAGCTGCTATTGCCGCTGAAAGCCCAAGCAGGATATCAATCAGGAAGTGAGCAAAGCGGAGCTATCACGTACCTGAGGATGAGACCGGAAGACGGGGAGGCCTCTCTTGCTACATGTGTCCTGCGACCCCTGGAGTTTGGAACAGGAGGACGCAGGGCATCGAGAAGCGTGAGTGCCACGGATTGGAAGCAGACATCGTGCAGGAGACTTCCTGTAGAGAGGTCAGCAGGCCAATGATCAAACCAGGCGGGCAGCGTAGGAACAGACTCAGGAGCCAGAAGTTGTAGTCGAGGAAGCCAAAGGTCGGATCCAGCTGGGCTGCGAAGCACAAAATCAGCAGGAAAGAGCAAATCCACAGAATAGGCCATGGTCAGGGGCAGGCAACAATCAGAAGGGTAGTCCAGGGCAATCCAAGTCAAACAGATCATAGGCAAATCGACAGAGGCACAGACAACAGGCACATAAGCTGACAAGACCATCAGCAATGTGAGGCAGGCTGGGTCATCCTTATATAGTCACTTAATTGAGGCAACTACTTTACTTCCTGTGAGCCATCCGTCCGTGCATCTTCCCGCGCACCTCGTGCATGCCCACTATGGCGTGCTTCCAGAGATTGGGCTTTTGCGCATGCGCGGCCGCCATTGTGCCCTTACAGGAGCTGATGCTAGGTGCTTCTGACTGCATGCTGTGCCACACCAGGCCCTCTCAATGTTTCTTCATTAAATGCAGATGTGCGCACACTAGAACTTTGGTTCTGTTGATGGATTTCTAAAAAGGTTGAAGAATGTCAGGAAAAGTGTATTTCTCATGTTACTTATGTGTGGTCTTCGCTCTCTATTACAGAGACATTTGTCACCGGAGGAATTTCTGCATGTCTTTGGAATGACTATTGAAGAGTTTGACCGCCTTGCACTGTGGAAGAAGAATGACCTAAAGAAGAAAGCTTTGCTTTTCTAGTCTCTGCTACAACCTCACCGCTGCCAGAACTACAACCTGCTCCCACCGTCACCTTGTTGCAACTCTTATTTCGGAAGAGAAAGGCGAGACGGATCCACGGGGCCAGCCAGTACGTTCACCAGTTTTCAGCCATGCCAACATCCACTCTGTGTTGCTTTATTGACAGTATTTTGTGCAGCCCAGGAACAAAACACCACTGACCACTGTAAATGAGGATTACTACATCTGTATGTATATCTCATGTATTCCCATTGACCATGTCATTCAGATTGGTTTGATATATGCATTGAAGGCCAAAGACTCCCATGTCAGCCGTAATTGCACCCATATACATTATTACAGATTGTATAGAGAACAAAATGTGCCACCCTCCAGAAGGAAGGACAGTGTCAGCATGAATTCCGAGATGATCGGAGGATCAACAGCTGATTGACTGATACAAATAAGATACATTTTTGTTAATAGATAAGGTGCTTGAATGCATTTTTAAGATTTCACTCCTGAGTGTAGGGTCACTCTAAAGTGAATCTTTACTCTCCCCATGTAGGTTCACTTTAAGGGTACATGAGAAATTCCATTATTCTCAAACAGTCCTTTATATTCCATCAACAGGTCCACTTTGAAGGAGTAGTCACAGGCATTGCTGTATCTTTGATTGTGCTTATATATTTGGCAAGTGATTGCCAAGTCCTAGAGGGGCTACAGTTAAGAAAAGTCTGCAAACCAGAGGATGAATTTATATAGGCCCCAATGTATATTCATTTAATCAAAATGCTGTATTCGATTAAAAAAATGCAGTGTCTGTCATTTAACCTCCCTGGCGGTATTCCCGAGTGTAGCTCGGGGTTACTTTTCCATACCATAAGCGGTAACCCCGAGCTACACTCGGGAAAGCCGCATAGCATTTACTTACCTTGTCCCTCGAGCCGCGCTGTGTTCTGCGGCCGATGCCGGCTTGCGAGCGTACGCGGAAATGGCGGGATATTTAAAAAAACAAAACGACAAAGACGAAATACATTCGAAAAAAAATAGACCGAAAAATTACATGAAAAAAATCAGTCAATCGTTTAGACTGTTATGCCCAGCCAAGAATTGACAGCTGCATGCTCAGTAGAGAACTATTGTCTATATGCTGGGACAGTATTGTATGCAAAGTGCCCATGCAATTGCCATGGGTACGCTCTTGAGTATGAGCCCTGTCAGTGATGACTATCGTTGTTCTAACCATTATCAGACCATAGTAATAAAACATGACAAGCTGGAATGTTAGAGCTGCAAAGATGATCCTTTGCGTGATCAAAATGGACTTAGTTAAATAAAATAGATTTGTCTTCATTGTTTTCTGTCCACAGTGCCATATCATTAGGAGCTATGCCAACATTGGTGTTTAAATCTTTGATGTTTTTTGGGGATTTGAATGTGAATATAATTTGCAGATCTTGCCTTTGTTTAATGATGAGATGAAAGGTATGGTTTTCCACTGCATTGCACACAGAAGGAGACTGTGGAAAGATCCGGGGTTTAAGTTATATGTAAGAGAAAGGATCTAAAGAACATACTCTTAAAGGAAGGTGATTGAAGGTGATGGTTATTAAATATCAAATATGTGGTTTGTGGCACTGTAGGAATAATATTTCTCTTCATAATTTTGTTGGAGTTTATTTCAAGCTGTATCTATTTATTATCCTGCACTAATTAAGAATGCAAGCTTTGATTTATCTCATGGGTCTCCTCCGTCAATGATAGATACTTGGGTCGGACATCTGCACTGCACTTATGATTCCTCCAGGGGGGGCTCTTTCTCTTCATCTATCTGTTCTCTCATTTTAAACTCTTGATATACCATCTTCTATAAAACTACTATTGTTAGACCCCCAGAAAACAACTTTCACCAGATATATATCTATGTTATTGTTTTCTATTTTGTTATTCCTACTGATATCCATACTCATTACATGTTATTACATATTACATCTAATTCATGTAAAGTTAGCTTGTTACTGTATGCTTTTCTGCAATTGGGAGTGCCCATTATTATACATAATTATAACATAGCATTATAAATTATATTGGTTCTGTAACAAAGAGCTGCCGTAAAAGGCTAAAAGCAGGGATTGCACTCACTTTGAGGATGATTTACTAGAAGTAGCCATCAGTTGGAGTTTAAGTGATATCCTTTATAGGCTAACTGAAGTTATTCAGAAGTCCTTAGAGTCCTTCTTCAGGCTTTTTGCACTTCCTTGAAGAATTAACTTAGGTTAGCCAATAAAGGGTATCGCTTAAACTCCAGGTTGATTTACTAAAAGGGTTTAAAACAATTTGAGTAAAGATTCACTTCAACAATCCAATCATGTGAAAAGCAAACTCCTGTTTACTTATTTCATCTACACACGATTGGATATATGAAGTGATTTTATTGTGGGAAGATTCTCAACTCATTAAGTAAATCAGCCTCCATGTTTTCTCCCACTGGTAGAAGTTATGCATTCTGAGAACAGTGTATGCAGATGGTTCTAGAGATAGTTCTGCATACCTTCTTCATATCCACAACACACCGCATCTATCCCGGCAGGATAAAGGGAGGAGCACACGGCGATTTATTGAATTTGGGCAGGGGCATGCCACATCTCCTCCCTCTAAGCAAGTTTGCTTACACAGCTCAAGCTCAGAGAGGTCCCGGAGTGCATAGAAGCTACTATAGGTAGTACGTTATATGCAGACAGTTTATGGCCACCTATTATTTCAGTATTTTCACTTAGTTACAGATTCACTTACGGAAAGTTGTGCTGAGAGCAATACATAGGCTGCCATTTCTGATATGCTAGTTGCCTGCTGTCAAATAAAACCAGATGATCGGCTGGGCATGACAGGTAGCCAACTAGCATTTTTAGAATGGGGTCAGCATTGGAAGCCTTTATATTTTCTTCTCAGTAAAGGTTCCCTTGTAGGTCTGTACCCTGTATATCTTGCCAACTGCTAGCGAGCATAGGTTATAGTAGAAAATGTTAATTCCATTTGGGGAAGAACACTGGAATGCAAGGTTATAAAACACTGTGTAGTCCATGCAGTCACCGTATAATAAAGAGAATGTGCTGTGACCATGCGGCTGTGTTTGGGACCATATAGGTCTGAATACATCATGTGATCCTTATAATAACGTTGTGGGGTTTGAATCACCTTCGTTCTTCTATGGTCACAGTCCTATCACAGAGGGTGATTGTGCCACATGTGACTACATAGAAATCCCAATCACTACCAATCCTGTGTTACCCATCACTCCCCTCTTTATATCTTATATAATAAAGAACATATCATCAGAAGTAATTTATTAAATAAAACAGATACCTATTGGGTATAACATTTCATAAACTAACCTAAAAATATTAGCTACTGTATATTTAAATATACATAAAATGTAAAACATTATATATGTAAGATAAATTGCTTTATTAACTATACACTAAAGCCTAGTTCCAAAACTATAGATACGTTTTATTTATTAACATCGATGTCACCAACAGTGGCAAGAAATAATATATAAAGTTAAAGTCAGAATATTGATGCATTGGAAAGGTAATTGAATGAACTAATAAAATGATGAGACCTGTGTGTGATTGATCTGTGAACAATAATAGTACAAACTAGAGGAAAGCATAATGCAGGCTATAATGTGATAAACGTTGTCACAAAATGTCTTATTTACTGATAGAGATCTGTAGAAATTCTAAAAGAGATATCTTTCAGAATGAAGGGAGACAATCTGATTTAGGTACTCAGAAGCTCAAGCTGACCCTACACTTTAAAACCGGATTGAATAATCTCTCTATAATTGCCTGTGGGGTGACCCTAAAAGTGATTGTGTGATCATCTGCTAATGTGTATTTTCATTTTAGTCAAAGCATTTAGACCCTTGGTTCCCAACTGGTGGGTCGTCACAGTTCAGCAGCCGACACTGGATACCAGGCTGAGGATTCACCCACTCGTAAGGTAGAGAGAATGGGTGGACCTTAAAAAAAATGTAATATTTTTTGGAGTGTGTATGTGTGTGTGAGAATGTCTGTGAGTGTGTGAGATTGTGTCTGTGGTTGTGTATGTATGCCAGTGTTTTTGAGAGCCCGTTCACACTGGTACAGTGCGTTAATTGCAAAGTACCGTGCGATTAGCACTGCGTACCATGCAATCACACCTACCGTGCATTCTGTTGTAGGAGGTGTGTTGGGTTGCCATTCATTTGAATGGTACCCCAAACAGACCTCCCACCCACAGCTTGTACGCCCACACTGGAACGTGCGGTACCCTAATACCGTGCATTCCATTGCAGTGCGACTTGGGTCGCGACTTAATGATGAAGGAGAAATGTGGGTCCTGAGGTTACACAGGTTGAGAACCACTGGTTTAAAGGTGTCGTTTAATTATTAAAGCAACACATAGATACTTGCAGACTTATTTCATAAGGCCCTGTGCAGTATCCTGCAGAATTTACTCCAGCTGTTCTGTTGGTGCCTTTTGGCAAGTAATTAGCTGAGATAAGTTAGCTATATTTTTCCTAACAACTAGGAAATACCTGCTCATCCTCCCACCCAGTGTCAGGACCCGCCATTATCCTTGTCTGACGTCAGTGCACTCACCACTGTTCTAGGGTTGCCATCTGTACAAAATTCACCCGGACAGTCCGGGTTTTGAATGCTGTGTCCGGCTTTCATGGCAGCAGAAACCCGGAAACAAGATGTCAGGCAGACGTGGCAACCAAAATTAAGATAGGGGCTACTGGACCCCCACTGAAAGTAGTCTAAACTGTGATATTTACATATGAGTGGGTGGAGCTATTTACATATGAATAAGCCACAACTCATTCTCCCCAAAAAATGTCTGTGCGTTGCTAGAGTGTTCGGGTTTCACTTGAAGAAAGGGTGGCAACCCTACACTGTTCTGATTATTAAGTGTTAACCATAGACCGCAATTAATAGTAAGAATTCTCTCTGCAGCCCTCTACTGGGTCAGAAACCATCTCATTGTCATAAGCACCACTCTATTTATATTGTCTTACTCTTTAGTGTGCATAACAGCATCAAATAACAAAGTACTGTATTTAGAAATAATCAAATCCACTATGGGGTTCTGATATTTAACACTGTTCTATACTTTTAGTGCATCTGACAAGATGGCAATTGTTAGGAGACTCAGACTCCTCCTCCAGGTCCTGCAGGAGCTGCTATTAGTGCACATGAATCTTTGCATTTCTATGGGGTAATGGTGTTATTGACAGCAGGTCCTGGACTAGCAATCTGGCAGCTCTGATTCCATGAAGCCTATTGTTACAATACAGGAAAGCCTTTATAAACTGTTGTGGTTATCC